CTAGCTAGGACTTCTGCGGCAAGCTTAGGCTCTCCGTTGCACTTCTACAGGGTTTTCGCATTCAGATTTCATACAAAGAGTGGCACGTAGTCGGGTTCCCATTCTCGCAGATGACCAGTGCCGGCAGAGGGCTTTCAACCGCAATCTTGAAGCACAAGAACAACTGAGCACTTTCGATGGCCTGTGCTTTCTTGTGCTTCCCCGGGGCGGAGCCCAGCCTCACAACAACTCACTGAATCGTGGTGTGCGCGAGACGCTACATACCAGCGGAACGGCGGCAAGACGTAGCTTAAGACTTGGAGCACAGGATGCCTGCAACTTGCAATGATTGCAACACTTCCCTAAGAGTAGCCTCGATGTCAGGCGAGTTCGGGGACAAGGGTTAACAATGCTTCTAGCTCATCACGAACATTCTCCCACTGCCGCTAAACGAACGGCATGTTGTCATTCTTGCCGCACTCCAACAAGTGAGGGTGCGTGAAAACCCCTACCCATTTGCTTGACCCTTAATTCGGCTATCATGTTTGACTCTTATTGTTTTACAGGACTTTGGGACTGTAGGATGTAGCAGCAGCAACTGCAGCATCAGCAGTAGTAGCAGTAGCAGCAGCAGTAGCAGTAGTTGCACCAGCAGAAGCAGCAGCAGCAGCAAGAAGAACAGGGATTTAATATCATGTTTTAGTTTCTGAATCTCCAAGAAAACAGAATGTGCCTTCGGTCGAAGATGCCTACTTGTTCGATGTGGTGTTATCGTTTGGCTTTCGTTTTGCTATCGTTCGAGACCACCAACTACCCAACCCAAAATTGGCTAATCTCAAGCTTGGCCTTGGCTCGATCGGGAAATTATATTGTCTTGTCTTTGTTGTGTACTTAGGCTTCAAGCGGAACAGAATACCTGCCAAAGCAAGCCTAAACTACCTAAAATGGCACAGATTCCTTACCACACAGGGCCTAAGGTTACGAACATATTCTCTCTCGCTTAGCTCTTATTATCTTATCGTTTTACAAAGAGCTCGATTGCTCTCAACCTACGGACGCATCTAGTTTAAACAATGCTCTCGGGGATTTGTATCATCCTTCATTGGGATGTCCGCCTTTGGTGCTGCCATCGACCGAGTCAATGGCAAAGGCCGACAAGTACAAACAAAGCACAAGGCACAATGTTGACAAGACCGAACTAAAACAAAAAAAAAGATAAAAAACCTGCCCAGCAGGCTGTCTTGCCTCAGCCTCTTCGCACTCCCACCAAATTTGAAGCTTGAAGTCCGCACACACTCCATTTTTGCACTGAACACTCTCTCATGATGCGGATCAAACCCTGATGGGTTCCCTCCCCCCCGTCTACTAAACCCTAAACCCTTCAACCCTAAACCCCTAAACCCTAACCCTATAAACCCCAAAACCCTAAACCATATAGACCCTAAGCCCAAACCCTTTGCAAACCCGAGAGCTCCCGGGGCCCCGGGCGCTTAGAAACCGCCTGGCACGGCGCTGCCAGGCACGACGGGAGCTCGGAGAGCTGCCTGCATCCTGCTTTTTTTTTTTTTAGGAGGGGCCTTGAAGAGTTTAGGGCTTTTCCCTCGCATGGCTGAGGATCTATGCCCACTAGCGAGGTCGGAGTTAGGGACCAAGGTTCGAAGGCTGTGCTAGACGAAGTTGATCAGTCCATGAAGGTTCCTAGCCCTATTTAAGCCAATAACCAGCATCACGGACCAGATCACTATCGCCACCAAGGACATGTCATTCTCTCTACAGCAAAGCAACGTTTAGGCTTTTAGGGTTTAGGGGTTTAGGGTTTAGGGATTTAGGGTTTACGGGTTTGGGGTTTAGGGTTTAGAGTTTAGGGGTTCAGGGTTTAGGGGAGGGTTTAGGATGGTTTGGTTTGCCTGGGTTTAGGGTTTAGTTTAGGAGTTTAGGGTATAACAACGTTTGGAAAGACTCATAGTTGAAAGCCTTCCTTCTTGGTGCCTTTCTTTCAAGGTTCGACTGATATATGGGCCTGACTAGTTCGAACAGGTCTTTTGCGACCTGTTGTAGCACACTTTTAAGGAGCTGTTGAGGAGAAGTGCTGGGGACCATCTAGGCTCCAGCCCCTAAATCCTAAATCCTGAACCCAAGCTTCCATGTGAGCACAAGATGCGGGACTGCAGACTTCGGAAACTGCAGCTCAGGGTGTTTCTGGGGTAAGGCTTGGGGTTGAGGGTTTTAGGGGTTTAGGGTTTAGGGATTCGGCGTTTACGGGGTTTAGGGTTTATAGGGTACTGGATCTGAGGTCCATAAAAACAAACAGCTCGAGTGGTTCAAACCGAAGCAGGTGAACCGAACTTCGTCTGAGCATGAAAGTGTCTGAACATCCCAACCTCTTCAATATTTAAGGAGCATGAACAGCCGAGGAGGGGGTGTCTGATGGACGACACTTCCCTCTTGGGATTCTTGCCCGCTGCTTTTTTTGTCATCTCAGCCCAGTCTTCGGGCCCCTAAATCCTAAACCCCCCTTCTTCGATTGATCAAACTGGAACGGCCGACCTCGAGGACCAACTCGGCGTCAGGAAACTCGCCTGGAGGTTACCCCCCATGTTTAGGGCTTAAGGCCTAGATCCTCCGTGTTTAACGGATGTTCGTATTATTCATACTACCTTTTTGCTTAAAGACGTGTGTAAGCATGTGTACATACTGGTGTCTTTTCTAGCTTCGTGTACATATATGTCCTGTGAAACTTCAAACTCCGGCACGAACTTTTGGCTGCAGGAGGCTCGCTAAGAAGCACCGTTTGAAGCTAAAGCGGCTCTGGCATCTGGGAAACGGTTCGGAAAATCCTGAGTTGGGACCCAGCACCGACGCACCTCAAACTAAAGGGACTCCTAACTCCTCAAACCCTGAAGCTGGACTTCCTAGCCATGTGGCTTGCGGCCGCGCTGACCTCGGGCGAGCCTGGCGTGGTCTAGAATGATACGGCAAGCAGACTGCTGGTTTCAGCTGGGCATTGGCAAAAAGGTACGCTCAAGGAGTGCATGGTCTTTTTTACAAAGAGAACGAGAGCGGCTTGCCTGGCCCCTGGTTCGTTGTGGCACGGGACAGGGTAGTACGGACCAAGCCCAACCATTGCAAGATGGTCATTTCGCTTATAGTAGGACATGTGGGACAGCAACACAGTCATTTAACTCTTGTCCGAAAACCCTAACCTGTACCGGCCGCAAACGGGGGAGACGCCTTGTTTCGCGACTCCTTCCCTGGCCCCCGCACTCTCCAACTTCAAAGCAGAATGGCTGCCGGCACATGTGTTTTGCACCGAGACCACCTGCTTCAACTAAACAGCCACACCTTCGGCGTGGATCCCGTGTTTTTTTTATATCCGACTCTTGGCCAGCTGAGACAAACCCAAGCAGCAAGAACGGCCTAGAGACATCTGGAGTACAGGATCAAGGTTTTTGGGTTTTGGGGTTTATATAGGGTTTAGGGTTGTAATGGCTTGGCGCCACTGCTTGCGGGTCTGATGGGCCACATCCGCACAACTTCCTTCGTCTATTGTTGCATCCAGGAACTCTCTATAGGATGAGCTGTCGAGGCGCAGAATCCAATTCCCCCAAACCTAGTGCTGACAAACGGGCGGAAAGGGCATCGCGAGCTCCGGTCGCTGATACGAGCACCCGTCTCTGTGCACTACAGTAACGAGTCAATGTCAATGCAAATATGTTTTGGCAAAGTCGCGCAGTGCGAGGCCCGAGATGCTCGAAGCGCCCGGATTGCGTGCTCTTGAAAAGCCTACTCCTGCAATTGCCTTATGAGCCAGAGTCGGCAGCCCGGCTCCGGACACAGCAGAGACAGGTAGGGCAAAAAATTGAAAATCGATGCACCGCGCGCATCAACCGCAAGGCCGCTGACATCCTCTTGACTTGAAAGGCGCGTTTGGGTGGAAAGTGCTGGAGAAAAACAGAACTGCTAAAGTCGAAATCCGATAAGCATCAAAGTTCCTGGGTGGGGGGAGCTTGCCCAAGCCTCTGCAGGGGCTGCTGGCATGCAGCATCACAGCTAGAGAGTACTGCCACCCGATTACAAGTTCCGCTGGTCAACCTGCTTGCAGCCTACAAACTGTCAAAACACTCTATCAATCAAACTGGCTCGTGGAGACAGCATTTCTGCAATGGGCTTGCGCTGTTGCTTGTGCAGTTTGGGGTGCGTGGAGCGTGCTGGATATAGTCAAGAGCTGGATGCCTGGAATGCATTGTCTTCGAGGGACATTGTGTGCAGGTGTGTGTCTTCGACTGCTCTTGTGGTTAAAAAGGACAGGGCTCGAATCTGTATTTTGAGACAGTGGTGACACTGATGATGCTGACGATGTTTTCCGGCTGTGATCAGGCTTCAACTCCGTGCCTGTAGGATGCTATAGACAGTGTGCTAAGCAGCTTTGGGCTGATTCCGTGCAAACGGCAGATCTCAAGTGCCTGGTCCGCCCTTGCCGCCAATGGAGGAATACTTCTGAGGAAAAACAACAAGGAATGATTGATGTACAGACATCTAACCACATCCCCCAAACACTGGAGCACTACTCTGGATGATATAAAATCATGCGTTAAGGACCCCAAACTACGGGAATTAGGGTGTATTCCTTATTATGGGTAATGCAGGATCTATACCATCAGCCGAATGACTACGAAATGTGGCCAGCACCAGCCATCCATCTAGATGAGTGTAACGTGCATCTGCAAACCAGGAAACACTTGCATGCTGCCATTGTATCATGTCGGCCCACTACAGGTTACTTGTCCTTGGTACGTCCAGGCTTCTTATTGCACCTGTAGCTAAAGGCAAGAGTCCCTTTGCAACACCACGGTCGGTCAAGGAAGAACGGCACTGAAATGTTTGTGAAACTCCCGCAATCCTTTCGATCGTCTCTCTCCTGACAAGCTCGCACAACAAACGCTCTAACAGCCTTCTGTTTCAGACGTGGTTTGCTGCACTTGTAATGCTGGGAAGCTAAATGCTTAATGCTGCCAAGGTTCGCTTCTGGCTTTGCTTGGCGTCTGCCTTAGGTGCACGTGTTGGAAAGCCTTGACAGAAAACCTAAGTCTAAGTCGAAGTACCCTGCAAGGCCGTGTGAATTAAACAACAACAACAACAACAGCGTCAGTCAGATTGACGAACCAGCCAAAACTCTGGACACAAACTAACCTGGCACCGTGAAACGACACCACATTGACAACACGAACAACTCAAATCGTGGGTACAACAACCCTTTCAGCAATCCCGGCACCAAAAGCACACACACGTGCACAAGCACAAAAAGGCAGTCTCGAACCGGCAGGCGCGCGACCTGACAGTGACTGCCATAGCCTGCACCAAAAAAAGCAGCAAAGAGTCTAACGAGGTTCAGGCTTAGGGATGAACCGGAGATCAAAACCTATTCTTCTGCGGCCCTGCTGCCAACAGCGTGCTCGTGTCACTCCAGGAGGCCCGGGAGTGTTCCAGCGACAGACTGTACACCGACTCACTGAAGTCCTGTACAGCACAACATCAGACCTCCTGTGCTCGGCATCTGCAACATCAGTCAACATCAGATGTCCCCCGCTAAGTACGCAAAGGATCTGCATTTTGGTTGCAGATGCATGTGCACCTGCGTACCTATATAAATACAGACATGCATACATTGACATACATACATACAGACAGGCAGACATGCAGTCCCCCAATCTACTGGCAGTTGATTTGCCGATTTGGACCTATCCACCTTTCTATCAACGTGTCTGTCAGGCTGTCTACGTAGTACTCATAACAACAACTAGGCTGCTAAACACAAGGGCATATTCGCACATGTAAGACACAGACACGGACGAACGTTGTCTCTGGCATGTGTGTAATCCTGTATGCATGCATGTCTAATATAGTGATGTGGCGTAGTGTTACGTAATGCAATGTAATGTACTGTATGTTGCTGGATTCTGCATTGTGTGTGTGTTGTGCATTGGTTTATATGCGTTGTTCGCAATGTAGGCATTGAAGGTAATATAGGTACATGACAGGCAAGCAGGTATCTGTTATCGAGTTTCGTCTCACTCGCAATGCAGGTGACTTTAGGTTCCCGAGCCCACAGCCTTCGCATAATTCATGCCTTACTTATCTGGTACTTGTAGCACAGAAAGAACAGGCATTCACGTGGATATACTATACATACATACACATGTACATACACACACACATAAAAAATACTCATACATACATACATACATACATACATACATACATACAGACATACGTACATACATGCATGCATGCATGCATGCATACATACACACACACACTGTGTTACATTACATTACATTACATACATACATACATACATACATACATACATACATACATACATTCTTACATACATACATACATACATACATACATACACACATACATGTGTGTGTGTGCGCACACGTTTCATAAACATTATGCAGATAGAGGTGCCTGTATAGGATATGTGAGGTTTAGAGCATGAGCTTTTTCCAAGAACAGTGCCTACGCACATGCGCAGGTGGGTCCAGGTATGTCAGTATGAGTCAAGGCAGAGAGAGAGAGAGAGAGAGAAAAGGAACGCAATGAGGAATAACGAAACGCAGAAAAAACGAAAGCTAAACACTCACAGATGAGGAGTTCAAGAAAGACACGGAAAGGCAAGGAATGTACAACTTCATGAAGGAACCAACTCAGACAAACACGAGACAAAGTGAACAGCAAGCAGTACAGACATAAACAACACATAATCACATAATAGAAACAACAGGCCAGTGAACCAAACACAGAGAATCCAATAACCGCAGATGAACGTCATTGCCAACGAAAGACATCATTGAATCGAAGGGAGCCAAGAGCTAGGTAAGGGCTCTCTGGACACGCCTGTTTTTCAAGGCTTCGGTGAGGGAAAGCCGGATGATCATCCGTTACCCCGTGTGGGGCGTTGGGAGTCATTGCTGAGTAAGTAATCAATGGAAGCAGCGGGCTGGCAACGGCACACTACCAAAGTCCGGTGCTAACAGTCCCAAATTGTCCCAAACGCCACATGGACAACGCCGGACAAGCTCCTCGGTGACGATGGGGTACGTCTCGATTTCCGGCAGGAGTCGCTTGGGAAAGCTGCAGAAGCACCTGGAATCGAATCAGTGGAGGTCCGGAGTCTACCTTACAGGTCAGAATTAGCGGCATAAGGTCAGGTCTAGTTTGACACAGAGATGTCTTCATTCTGCCTCTGGACCCACGTCTTGACTCTAAAGTATACTGGGCGCATTAGACCAACAACAGCCGATTTTCAGTGATGTGGGTGGCATACTCTGAGACTGAGACCTCAACCACCGCATGAACCTTCTGAAACAACAGTGTACAGCTGCCTCTGTCAGTTCGACGACCGAAACCTGGATAGCTCAATGCCAAAGCGCACCTCAAAACGGCAACCGCCTTGATTCAGTCCATACAAGAAGTGAACATAAACGCGACAAATCCTCAATCCTGTGCACGGCACGTGGATCGAAAAGGCATGATGGGCTGCCGCGACTTGGACTGCCTAGCTCGTTGAGACGGGTCTAGAGCTTGGGAAGTTCGGGTTCACGGCCAACGGCTTCGGGTCTCCGGAAATGTTCACACGAACCAAGCTCTGAGGCCTCGGGTTGAGGACTGAGAAGTTTGTGATAGCAGGTGGCTCCAAACCAAAAGCCCCAAAAGCCCAAATAGCATGAGAAATCGACACCTGGAGCCCTAAACCGCAAGGACGAATCAAAGCTGATTGTCGCCCAGCTGTAAACTGTAACCTTCTACCCTAAACCCTAAACCCTAAGTAAACCCTAAACCCTAAACCGATCGAGCTCTAGAGGATTCGAGGTAAAGGTTCCGAGCCCTGACTCGAAAAGCTCTGGTGTGAAAGCAACCCAAGGAGTTTCAGAGATTCAGAACGGCGGTTCTTTAGTCGGAAGTTCGGCATACTCCTGGAGAGCCCGAAAAAAAGGCCTGATTTAGAGAACTTCTAGATCTGGAATACTACCGGAAAAGTGCTCAACGAGACAAGATGTAAGCTCAATGAGACAAGATGTAAGCAGGGATTGGTCAAGATTTAAGAGGAGGCCCATTTGAGCGTCCTGAGTAACTCTGACAAGCAGTCTTGACGTGAACCCTTTTCTTCAGAGCATCGATGTTGCCGGATCAGCCGCACTTGCGAAGTGAACGACTGGTGATTCTGCTCCAGTGAAAGTATGCCATGGCTGATGCCAGGTGCTCGATCAGCGATTGCAGAGCTTGCAATTAAGTTCTATGACTGCTTATTCTCGTAGAACGATTGAAACTCATGCTACGCACTAGTTGAACCAGTTGACTGACCGGCTGGTGTTTGTAAATTTCTTTCGCAATCCCAATTCAGCGCGTATATATATATATATGTATCTATTTATTTACTTATGAAATACACATGCATGAAACAACTCCTCCCCCCTTTCGCGAAGATGCTGACCCCAGTTTTGGTCCTCAACCTCTTCGTCGAAGTCATTCCTGTCCTTCTGTACTCGCTAGGGCTACAAGATTAACGGCCAGGTTGCTTTCCTCGAGGTTTCTTTGACCTCCTCCCAACCACCGGAATGAGTGATAGCTGGGGCGCATACCTGAACTGCGAGAATGTAAGGCTGGGGTGTGCAATGCGATAAGTTCCTGCGACGGCTCGAGTCGTCGTCACATATCAGCATCGGTAGTCGTCGTCGTTGTAGTAGCAATAATGGTAGTTGCAGCAGCAATCGGCGCAGTAGTATAGTCGTCGTCGTCGGAGCAATAGCAACAGCAGCAGCAGTAGCAGCAGCAGCAGCAGGAATAGTGGTGGTAGTCGCAATAGTAATTTCAATTTAGTATTGGTATCAGTGGTGTTTGTTCTAAGTCTTAAAGCCTTTTCACTGGCAGACGAAGCTGCTAGTCAAGAATTACATCGGCACATTTACTAGGGTGGTTTCCTCTCGTGCTTCGCCTGGGCCGGAGATCTTGCAAGGATTTGCGGCAAACATGACAGGCAGGCTCCTCTCGGGATACCACAGATATGACCGTCATCATCCGAGCGTCGAGGGAAAAGACTCGTAGAAGCTGCGATGGAATCGCAGTGCGCGGTGTTGATAGACGCGCTCCAGGTCAATCGGGTCCTGTCTGATGCAGCGAAACAAGCTCTCGGCATGTGCAGCTAAGAGTCCGAACTCTCCGAAACATCCGATGTTTGATAACTCTTGATTTTTCATGCAAGGCGTCTTGATGTTAAACCCCCTGCGTCCTAAGAAGAAACCTTATACCAGCGTGGGCGCCTTTGCTTTGCGAACCCGCTGGCAGTTGACAGAGCCTGCAAATGGCTTCTGCGGCCAAAGATGTGGCTGGACTGGCGCCAAATGGAAGAAAGTCCGTTGAAAAATGAAATCAAGTTGAAAGAGCATGCGGCTCAGTGTCAATACTGCTTAAAACTTCGACTGAAGCCGAACAGTGCGGCGAAATTTGACGATGACGACAGCTACGACTCCTGCACGAGTCTATAGTTAAAGCATGAACGCTTCGCAACTGTTGTGGTTGCTGCCGCTACTTCATGACCGCACACCTGTTACGGCAACAAAGGCAACCGCTGTGGTGCCACACGCACACAGGCAAACTAATCGGTCGCTGATTGTATCGCCCGTTTGCTTGCACTGTGTCGGGAATACCGTGTTGTGCCAACCGTGGCGAGGCTCCATATACCAACGTCCAACGCGTTTCTCATGTTATCTATAAAGGTTACTTCCTCCTGGTCTTGCATCGCTAGGTGCCGGTGTCGTTGTCGTTCTGGCAGGAGGAGGAGTTGGTAGCCGCGGCAGAAGCAAGAGTAGTTGCAGTATCAGCAATAGAAGAGCAGCAACAGGATCCTGTTGGCAAAGCAACAAGCCAGGTGGCGGAAGTAATGAATGAACTCCCTAAGCTCTAAACTCGCCAGCTGGAAACAACTAGCGGTGCTTGTGCAGCAGCTGCTGTGAGATTCGTTGTCATGATCCTTCTCTACTCATGCCGTCGTAGTGGAGGTTAGCAGTTGTTACCGTGGAATCAAGGTCAAACGGGGTCGACCCCTACCCCATATAGGGGCCTTATAGGGTTAAGGGTATAAATATCGGGTACGGACATCTATAATGCATGCAGAGCCCCACCACCAAACCCTAAACCCCGACCCCATACAATTCCGTGGAGCAGCTCGAGGCTGGAAGAGGCCGCGGCTGCATTGGGCCCAGCTGCCGCACCTGCTCGAGGCTATGGCCACGAGAACATGGCCTAACATAAACACCATAGCAGAGTCCAGAATAGGTGGTGGAGTCGTGAGGAACCCGGCCTCTATGTTGGAACACGAGCGCTGAAGAGTTGTTTTGGAGCCTCGATTTGCACCGATTTGCACCGTTGTAGCCCTTCGTAAGAGAAACAGTAACCATGAGCGCATATTTGTCTACGATTGGCGGAGCTCGGAAACAAAAACCCAGAAGAAGAGCTGCCAGCATTGCGAGGCTGGAGCTCACAGGTGCAAGCAAATCGTTCCAGCAACTCGGCATGACAAGGCCCCTCAACCCGAACCACCACCAGAATGTCTTCACTTCATTGGAAGCCAGCCGCTAGCCGCTAGCCATGCCATCTCCAAGATGCAATGTTAGACGAAATCCGACGCGATATTATCCAAGCCACATCCTGCTCCCTACACCGGAAAGCATTGCTCCCTCTGGCCGGTCAGCCCGCCCCTGCTTCCCCGGAAGCCTCTCCACCTGCAGGCTTAAGCTTGCGAAGCCTTGTGCCCTGTAAGGAGGCTGCTCTAACCCCCCCTAGCCCCAGACTTCTCCAAACCGCACGCCCACCCGAAACCCTGAACTTGCAGAAACCACGAACTCCCCCAGCTGCCTTGGCTCCTCTGAAGCCTGTGGAAGCGGCCACAGCAGGCGCCGGCGGCCGAAACGAGACGGGAGAGTTCTCCGAATCCTCACGTGGCGTAATGTAATATATATATAATATAATGTTATATGTATATATATATATAATTGATATATAATATACATATAATATATATAGAGTATATAATAGTGGTAGCATCGGGAAGACGTGGCAGTCTGATTCTTTTGAGGACTCTCCTGCAACGAAGCGGTGACCTCGGTTTGGGGCTTGCAGTTTTGGGTTCAGGGCAGGTGATGTGCCGGGCGGAAGTGTGCTTTCGCCCCCTAACTCAATCTCATAGTCGTAGAGTTGCATGAAACCTACAATCATGGATTGTTCAGCCGTCTTATCACCTAACTCGTTCGGTTCGTAGGCACCGTCGGCCACATGGTAATACACCCTTGGTTCTGATAGTGCTGATAGATCGTACAGCTATAGGGTGCTGCAGCTTGAGTGCTGGGTTTGGCTCTTGCCGGCTGGACTAGATTTCTTGGCGGCGCACCGTTAGTGTCGGAATTGCCTCCTTACAGGTGCCATTTCTTGCTCATCAGGCGTGACATTTCTGTTCTCTCACTGCTGATGAACTGCAGATCCTGAGGAAGCCGGCCCTCGATGTTAGCTATCCACATGACGGCATAGCCCAAGAAAAGCTTCGGCTGCAAAACTCCTGACAACCCAACATACACACCCTCAACCTGAACCCGTTAAATTCAACCACCTCCATGCGCTAGACACCGGCACACAGTTCCGAAAGCCCAGAATACGAGAAAGCACCTCATAAGCCTTGGCCCTTATCCCCACAGACCTACATAACCGACCAGGTATGAACAGCACAGAAAGCAACACGGTCGGCTGTCGAGGCCTGACCATCGGATTCTCCCTCCTCGGATTCTCAGTGGGAGTGGTGTCAGGTTTGACATACGTGTATGTATACAAGAATGTACGTATGTATGTATACAGAAATGCATGCGTATATAATTATATATATACACATATGATATGATATACATATATATATATATATTTATTTATATATATATATATGTGGGAGCTGGAGTTGATGTACACAAAATATGTACACTCACACGGGCCAGCGCACAAATGCTCGTACGTACTGTATACCGCATATAGCAGAACGTTGCACAACACCACGAACATGATCTAGCATGACATAGCAAAGCATTCCCTTACCCAGGGTCGCCCCGCCGATATACGTCTAGGCTACAAGCGGCACATGTGTGCCTGCGTAGTAAGGCATGACCCCAGTCCACAGCATCAGAAACTGTGACTGGCTTCGAATGCTCTCATACTGCTAGGTGCGACTGCTTCATTTCCTCTACCCACGCGTTCGTTGTGTTTGCGCCAATATCCGCTTGTTTTTTTTTGTGTGTGTGTGTGCGTGTTGTCTATGCTCTCCTTCACTTTGTCTCTGTCTGTCCCTCTGTCTCTCTGTCCGTCTGTCTGTCTGTCCGTCGGTTGGTCGGTTAGTCGGGCTGGCTGTCTGTCTGTCTGTCTGTCTGTCTGTCTGTCTCTGTGTCTCTCTGTCTCCGTCTGTCTGCATGTCCGTCCGTCAGTCTGTCTGTGTTTCCCGCTGTGCCCAAATGATCAACAGATGCGGACGAAATGTATGTCCTATACTATGCTCAGTCTGCGAACATGGAGTCCCCCTATGACAGGCGAGGTCGCTAGCTGAAAACTCTGACCGGTGTTCTTGATGACAACCGCGGGAACTGACTAGCGGTGTCAAGCGCTTGCAGGCTCAGTGACTCCCTCGAGATCGAGCCTCCACAGGTTGACATGTCGCTCAATTCGCCCAAGCGTCGCCATCGCTGCCCAGTTGGTTCCGAGAGCTTTCTCGCGGCATGTCACCTCAACAGGCGAGTGGTGAGAGCTCCGTCGAGATTTCTGGCGCATGCCCATGTTGAGCCAAACACCACTCAACAATCTCCATCGGCTTTCCCTGTTGAAGACTAGATGATGACATAGGATTTTTATCTTCCGAAACTCCCACATGAAGGAGCCTCATGAAAAGATGCGATACCTCCTGCCGCAGCACTTCGACTTTCGCTCAAATTGTTGCGCAACCAGGAAAATGCAACGATGAAATAGGTCCAACGAGCCAAGATGTTTCTATGGGGGCTTTCGTGTTCGCAGCCAGTTCTCATTGGGGTATTGGTTGTTATATATTACAAGAACATCGTAGGAATGATAGTAGTGGGTCTTGAACATCTGGAACATCGATTTTGGAGCATCTTCACTACCTTTCAGGGGAATGTGTCCCCACTCTGGTTTATGCAAGAAGTGGCTTTCATGAACTCATGTGTCCAAGGGGCGTCGATTCTGATTCCAGGGGGCAGGGATGGTAATCCGCTTGCCCTCACGTAACCTCGGTGCTATGGTGACTCAGGGTTTCGAAGCTTGAAGCTCTACAGCCAAAGTCCGGAACACGATTGCCCCACGACAGCTGCAACGACCTCTAAACTCAAAGGACAATATTGAAGTCCTTGAGACTGCCGCGGCACAACAACACGAAGGCGTCTACCCTCGAACTGTGGACATTCGCGCGGTGACACTCACAAGGCTCAAATCATGCCAAATGTCTTTAGTATGGTCCTTCGCGACCGTTTACGTTCAGAAACTGTCTTCTATCTTGTCATTCTATCCAGTCCTGTAGACCACGATTCTGTCAAGGCGGGCGGTAGGAGCCCATGCTAATGACTTATAAGGTGGCTTCGTACGTGGATGGAAGCCTAAAGTCCTAAAGCATTCATTGATGGTCGACAGCAATCCACGATCCGACACTTCCGTCCAAATCAAAGCGGAGCTCATTTTGCTTACATGTTCGGCCCGGTGCTCGTGCAAAGAAGGCTCGGGGCCGCTGTACACAGTACTCTTTTTAGGGCTTCGTCAAACACACATTGCGGCCAGAAAGCATCATCACGCGAAGCGTCTCCCAGTCGAAGCCTGTCTCCACCGACTCTTCACATGCTTTCGTCTATGGCAGCTTCAAAGGTCCGATGCTACTCGGGTGGGGCTGCAAGACCGAATTAGAGGATTCGCTCATGCCTGCCATACCAGACGTGGACAAGAACGGCTGGCTGCACCATCTATACCACGATGCAGAACCACAGAACCTACAAATCCGGCTTGCTACAACGACTCGGATCTCTGGACCTGCAAAACAGTCGCCTCTCGAAATGTAGAAGACTTCGTTGCTGGGTCGCTGGTGTGAAGCGCGCTTATCACCGTCGGTCTGAATGATCGTATGCGGCTTCATAGCCCCGATATAAACCTCCAAAGCATACCTCAGACCCTACACTCTAAGACGGTCCAAGACCCTCAAGCCGGAGAAACTCGAGGCATTCCATGGCAACGCCGGCCTTCCTGGTCGTGGTCCTCTGGTCGCGGGCCACGGACCCTCGAGGATTCGCCTCTTAACTTCCGTGAGAGCAGTCGAAGTACCGTTAAGGGACAGGGGTTGTTTTCCCTCTCGCATGGCTAAGGATCTATGCCCACAAGCGAGGTAGCATCGAGGGGGTTTAGGGTTTATAGGCTTTAGGGGGGCTTGGCTGTCAAGGTTCCATTTCAGTGCCTTGATCGACCTGGGCTGAGCGACGACTCGAGATCACTCGAGACGCCGGTCAGCCGACCGCATCTTACCAGTCTTACCACGTATATCTGCGGAAGCAGAAAGCAAATAGTCTCAAGAGCCATTCTGTGTATATGGTTTTGCATCGACAACTGTCTGCGTGGCTTCAGTGCATGGGCGACAGGAAGCTTACATGCCCAAGCCTATACTTAGGTACAAGTATCTGCAAGATGGGAGGGAGTCTGGGCCTCCACCTGCGGCCATGTCTGCATCTGCTCCTGGAACCAGGCCTCCCACGGGCCAGCCATCACCAACCTGCGCAGGAGATTCTCGGATCTGAAGAGGGGATTCAACACTGTGGCAGGCAGGCGTCTCCCGTAGAAGTACGCCGGTCGGCCTGCCTGCCCGTCTCTTTTTCTGCCAGCATGCCCGTCTCTGTTTCTGATGCACAAGCATGCATGCTGCGAATGGTTCCGGAAACGTGCTGCATAACACACCTTCGCTGTTTATGCCTTTGCACATGCAGGCATCCCTACCCCCCTGTCTATCTATCTATCTATCTATCTACCTACCTGCCTACCTACCTACCGACCTACCTACCTGGCTAACTACCTACCTACCTCTCTGTCTATCTGTTCATCATCTACCATCTATCGATCTCTCATATATGCATCGCAGCATTTGCCTGACTGTGTTTTGTGCAGGGGTGGTGGGAGAGGGGGGTGTTCAGAACCTGCGTCAGGCAGATGTCAATCTTTGACTGCAAGTCAAGTCATGACAGAGACACTGGCAGTTGGTAGGTCGATGGGGCATGGTTGGCCTCTTTGGCTTTGGCACGACAGTACCCCGTGGGGCCAACGGCCAGCGGGTATTTTTGCCGACAACTTAGAGGCATCTATGCAATCTCTCATGTCATGCAAACCCAGGAGTATGCAGCAAACCTGAATGAAGCGCAGCTTCAGGAAGATCTCATGTCCTGTCCGCAAGCCAAAAATCCCCAAATCCGAACCCCCTAAACCTGAAATTCATCAACCCCCACACAACCCCTGATTAACCCCTAGAGACCATCAAACTCTAAAGCCAGCCCACCTCACTACTCCTCCGGCGCTGCGAATTGCGTCGCTGGCTCTTCTGCATCCAGCTGCGTCCCAGGGCCGCAGCATCCTCCCCAGGTGCAAGTAGACTAGGATTAGGGTTCTGCGGGGCCTGGGCGGTGCTTTAAGGATATAAGTGCATTAATTTTAAGAAGGGTCTATAAAGGTTCGGGTGTGGAGTTCATCTGTTTGGGGTCTAGTGTGTATACGGGGCCCTTCAGCGGTTTAGATAGATGAAATCCGCACAAAAATCCTGGGTCTCTCGGGTTGGGCTGTAGGAAATTGACTTTGATTGTTGCTGCCACCTGATTAGCGGAACATTGCAACAGGAGAGATCCAGCCACAAAACAAGCGCAATCCCCAGCCATGATGTACAAGATTAGACGAATGCAGTATGCTACATGACCTTCAGGGCTAGAAAAGACGGAAATAGTTTCGTTATGCTTTGTCTTATTGGGCCCCCGCCGGTATCAACGCGAAGCCCTCATCCAATCACTGGAGTCGCTAGAGTGCATTCTCAACCCAGTTTGAGACTCCGGCAATGAGATGTACAGCAGGGACAGGCATTCGATCGAATGGTCCTAAATCATTCAATTAATGGAAACAGTAAACATAGTAGTTCTACATAAACTGCCCATTGCCATCATTAAGTCTATGAACTGTGATGGCAAGTACACGTATGGTAAAAGGTTGGCGCCCAGGAGCAATGACAGACTTGACAAAAAAAACCAAAGCCAGCACCCCAAAGCCCCAAGACCCTTAACCTCAAGCCAGCACCCGAAACCCCAAACCCTGACACCTTAACCCTAAAAAATCCCCGAGCACTAAACCAAACACCCTTGAACATGCGAGCACATCAAGAATGAGCGACATTGATAGGTTTTGAATATTTTGTTTATCAGGACCCCTAATAGAAAGCCTCGATGATAGATTTCTTGCCTGCTTTAGCGGACTCAGTCATTGGAACAATGCTTGTGCATTTTCTGCCACAATTATAGCCACGAGCCCCGTTTGCGCCAAGGAATTGTGGCACTACTGGCTAATTATCCGCCTCCCTATGTTGAGGCTTGCCCGTCCTTGTCGTCGAGCTCCACACGCTCGCCACGGTCCTTCTTGCGCTGCTTCTCGCCTTGGGATTTCTGTTCGGGTTCGGACAAGGGTTCCAACAATGTCCTTATGAGGGTCCTCACAATTCGTTAGGATCAGTCTCCTTCGGGTTCTATATAGGTCCCTATAAAGCCTATATGCTGTGAAGCTAACAGATGGAGATAGCCCGTGCCATCACGTCCTTCTTGCTGATGCAATGGAGCTGGGCAACATCGACGAAATCTAGAATCTAGAGTCAGCTTGACAAGTTGGATTTCACGCTTTTTGCTCAGGAATGCGGAGGTTTCTGTGAAGTCCTCGTGCTCTCGTGACTCTCGTGCAGTCCAAGCATCGAGCAGCTTCGAGCAAGTCGCCGAGAATTGTGTTCATGCCCCTGTGAGCGGCATTAAGCTTCCGGCGTTACTTTCAGCTTCGATGCCGCTCACGGAAACTGTAAAGCTGTCTAGCCTCGTTGTAAGCTTTTACGGAGATAGGGAGAAGGCATCGCTTCAGGCTTCGCGCATGTTCGCGCAAAGGGTGGGAAGGGGCCGCCAGCTCTAACATCTTCGGGCCACCGCTTGACCAGCTCCGCAAATCTTCGGCAACACGCCGTGAAGACCTGAACATCTCAGACTCCCGAAAGCATCGCTGGAAGCTCAAGGCCCAAGTCCCGAAGCATCGACCTGAAATCCTAAACCCTGTATAGTTGGCCAAGTCTACGTAGCCCTTGCAAAAAAGGCCAGATAACAAGAGCTTTAAAACAAACTGCCAAGTGGCTTCTTTTTGGCCTGGGCCGCTTCGTCACTGTCGTTCTGCGCACCACGCGCGAAAATCTCGGCAGATGTGACGAAGGCTCCAACACTCTAAGTTCCCTGAAGTTGCGACCCCCGTGGCAAAATGCGTAAGCTTTCGGTGAAAAAACGCAGCCTGCAGCCCCAACCCTATGACCCGGAAACAGAAGGGAGGCCCGGGCCACAAAGGTCTGTCTCTGAAACCAACAAGATTAGTGGACGGATTCTGCGCCATCAGAGCACACGCGCATTCGTGCACGCAAACACAGAATCTGAAGTCAAGCTGCTGTGCTGTCCCCCGTGACAGGTGTTGGTAGTCCTGCGGCGATATCGGTTTAGGTTGACATGGCATGTCGGCTGTTAACTACTTGCCTGAACCTGCTCTCTATGCCTCTATAGCATCTGGGCTTTAAGCCAAAAACACCTAGAGTCAAAATCCCGAACGGAACTCACAAACGGACGCAACAAACAGTGACTCCAATGGAAGGTCTAGGAAGTCCCTTTTGGCAGTCGGTTCTGGAAGCACACCAGAAGCTCTAGCATGCTTTATTTAGCACTTGTGATTCACTGCTAGCCAACTTCGAATCCTAAAGCCCCAAACACCCCTAAGCCCAAACCCCAAGCGTGTTCGGATCATTTGAGCCCTGCGGCTTCTCTAACAACTGCAGTCCGATGTCTGACGAAAAGTGCCAAGCACAACAACAGCTTCACTCAAGTGGCCCTGCGAAGCTCGCGTCATCGCAGGTGCCGCGTGAACCCATCGAGACAACGAGCATCTTCCTTTTCTGCGGCGTTTGCTGCCGGACATGTCCGGACATGAAAACTGCGTCAGAAGTGCAGTTAATATATCGGGCTTTCAACCAATTGACACCCGACACTGAAACATGGAACCCTTCAGCCCCAAACCCCCCCAACCCCCAGCCGTGTCCTGCGTGTGCTCCATCCTCGCGGCTTAATTTGCTTGGAGCTTCTGCTTCAGCGTTTGTTGCTTGTGCTTCTCGTGTTTTGGTCGTCGGTCGCCCTGGCACTGCTTGCGACTCCCCATGCTACTACTCCTGCTGCTGCTGCTGCCGCCGCCGCTACTTCCTCCTCCTCTCCTGCTGCGCCTTTGTTGCGGTTGCTTCTACTCTTGTCACTGCTGCTCCAACTGCCGTTGTTACTATACTATCACGACGACGACCGCGACGACTACTCCGACCTCAGCCTCTTGACTGTTGCTGCCTCTATCGCGGGATCAAGCATGCCATCTCGTAACTTCGACAAACTACAGCAGAACTCAGATCATGTCGTCGGTCTTGGAATGACGGCCAGTACATGTTCAAAACCGCCCGGGACTGTCTCTAAGCCTCGGTGACGGCGAGGAAAGGATCCTACAGCCCTTGCAAGCCCTAAGCCAGAGATGAAACCACAGCTTTCGGTCCAGACCGCTGGCGCCGGAGGAGCCTGCAGACTCCTGCTGCGAGGCGGAAAGCCCAGAGATTGAGGTCAAAAACAGAAGGAGATTTTGGCCGGGCTGCTTAAGCATAGGCTTGTCTGTATTGCCACGACTCTCTCAAGGTTCTTCTTGCAAGTTCTTCCAACGGATACCAAGCCCGCCGTAAGGCAACTCTGATTCTGGATCATGGTTGGCTGGGCCCAGTATTTCCACCAGCGCTACGTGGTCTTTGGCAAACACGGGGTGGCAAAGAGGGGCGCAACCTTGATCCTCACTCGCAGCCTGCAACAACCGTGCATCGATGCACCCAGCGACTGGAACATAAGAGGCCCTTTATGTTGCCTATGTCTGTTGAGGCACCGGGAGGTTCAGTATTCGGTTTAAAAAATGGGCAGGGATACATCCTGAATTCTGCACCCCTAAACCTATCCGTCCCCCTGGGAAGCTCTCATCTCCTGGTTGCGGTCGATTTCTTGAAGGATGCTGTTCCTTAGGGCGTACAGGGCTGATAAGGGTTATGCCTTTAGGGGTTGTAGTTGCCGCTATGGTGTTTCAGCGTTGTGCTTGCGAAGCGGCGATCTTGGATTCCCGTGACACACACTTGGACAGTTCAGGCTACCCAGGCTATCCAGCAACACACCTCGTCGTCTCCACGGCAAACCCCACACACGTGAATACAAACACACAGTGTGGAGACTCAGTGTGACTAAATGTCTGCTGTCCTTTCAAGCACTTCTGTTGATGTCCCGCTCGAGACACAGCTGCAGCTTTGGATTGAATTGGTTCCTGGTGTATTATTCCGGGATTTGCAGCATGTCTTGCAGCAGCTTGGCTGCAAGCTCCCGTGCCGTTCTTGCATGAAGATCACAGCCGTCGATGTGTTGGTATGCAGGACATGGGACCATGGCAGCATCATGAAAATTCGATGAGCGGTGTCTCAACACCGTTTTGTCCTCGCACAAACAAGCTTTGCTTCGACAATGCATGCAGGCTAGACCCCAACCGCAGCCCTACGTTCCTAAGGCATTCGCGCTAACTTCTGCCTCCAGGGGCTGAAATTTCAAGGGCCCCCAGAGCATTTGTGAAGACGTACCTCGAGATGACCTTGAAGGAGCACTCAACAAGTCCCCCGAAAATGCCACCCAATGTCCGGTAGCCCATTTCATCACCCTCATATTCGTATCTCCTAAGTATGATAGTATACCTACCCCTTCTACTGAACTCTTGATACACTTCTTTCCAGGGCACAGCATCAACTCCTTTGCCGACCGCTCCCGGGCCCCTCCGCCGGAGCCGCTGTTGCGACGAGCGCCTCTCGAGGAGGATGGGTCCAAGGAGGATAAAAAATAACGGGCCTGAGGAGGGAGGAGGAGGAGGAGTGTTGTTCCTTATGAAACTTGAGGTTATGTAGACAAGTAGGCGAATGAACAACCAAACAAAGAAACAGAAGTTTCTAGCTACGGGAAAGACAATCTCTCTCTCTCTCTCTCCCTATTAAATATACATATACAAACTGTTACATATCATTCATGGCGATTTGATTTGAGGTTTGCAGCTTGGGTCTTGGGCCGAGGAAGAGAGCCAAGCCTCTGAGCCCACTCTCAAAGCTCATGTAACACGTTCATCCAGTAACTGCTTGGCCACCATGCCCCAAGCCCGCGCCCAAACACCCGATAAGGTTCGAAAGCCTATCAGCTCTCAGCCTTCTACTCTATAAAGCATCAAGAAGGCTTCAGTTCCTATACTATAGGGGCCTTAATAATTAGAATAGGGTTTGGGGGTATATTATACTAAAATTATAGTAAGGAACCTCCAAAACCCCATTCTAATTATTAAGGCCCCTACATTAGTTCCTGACATGTTGAAACGCCGAGCGCAACAAAACCCAAAATCCCCCAAGTCGAAGTCTGAGCCCTGGGAACCCCGAAAGCCCCCGACATGTTCGGTCCACAGACTCAACCGGACCCTGGCATGAAGCTGTCCTGCTTTTTTTGTCGTTGAGTTGCCTTGTTGGAGTATGCTATGCTTCTATTACACACCCTCAAAAATAAATGCGTAAACTTAAATACAAATAGACAGGAATATAAAAGACCCATGAGGTCTAAAACCCACGTCGACATGAAGCCTCCGAGTCCTCCAGGGCCATCCAGGCCCGAAGTGTGCTCCAAAGCCCCTCCATCTTCGAAGCCTCGGCTGNNGGGGGGGGGGGGGGGGGGGTGTAAATATTGGGCTTAAGGTTTCGAGGGTTGGGTTTCTTTTAGGGTTTAGGCTTCGGTCTTTCTGGCGTTATACGAGGCTTGAGGGTTTCGGCGCTCACA